GATTAATACACACCCCCATCAACACACACCTGGATCAAAACACACCTGGATTAATGCACACCCGCATTAACACACACCTGGATTAATACACACCCGCATCAACACACTCCTGGATTAATACACACCCACATCAACACACACCTGGATTAATACACACCCGCATCAACACACACCTGGATTAATACACACCTGCATCAACACACTCCTGGATTAATACACACCTGCAATAACAAACACTTGGATCAACACACACCTAGATCAACACACACCTGCATATGTTAGACCACCCAATTAATTCCAGAGCAAGTCTTCAAGACAGAAAGCTGTTTAACTTCTTAAATTTTGTTAATTAAACAAGTATAGCGAGAGTTGTACAGAAATGCTGCCAGGGAGTGAACTGGAATATCCTTTATTTGACTCCAGACATATACAGTAATAGCATACTTGTACTGTTCTTGGACAGAGAAAACCAGTCCCTGAAAACCATACTCACCAGCTCCACGCGACCAAAGCCCCCAACACCCAGAGTGCTGATGATCCGAAAATCAGACAGCGACACACTGGAGAAGAAGTTTGTCTCTGCCTCTATCCTGCACAAACAAGGACACCCCAGCACACACAAGCAGACAAACGGACACACAGACAAATAGTATCTGTATTTAAAACTTCAGGGCAGTGGTTCCCATGCTGCTGTCCTCTCAGTTTTGCTCCAGCGCAGCGCAGTTCATACAAGCCTGATACAGTCATTCCCACTCGTCTGTCCTTTGCTAATTGATCAACTGTTAAAGTCCGGTGTGCTGACGCTGTAATGGGGTGTTTTTTGCCAACTAATCCCACCCCTCAGTTACAATCGCAACCCCAGTCACAATTGGCTAGTGACATGACTCGAACCTGTGATCATAGCTCTTACCTTTTTCTCAGGTGAGCATATTAACCAGTAGAGCCACTCAGAGCTGCACGTGGTACACTATGGTCAGCAGTGGCTTAGTGAACCTCACTATGTGACTGAATAGATACAACTATGGTGCCTGAAGGCCCCGAACTAAATTAGCAGACTCATCTAGGTCTCCTTAAATCATCACCAGCTGAAGACCGGAGCAGAAGGGCTACTTTGTTCCAACAGGCCTCATTCTGACCTTTCCTTTTAAGGAGATAATGATTCTGAGAGACCTAGAAGACCTGGATCAGCCCCAGGGCCTTGAGGAACAGAGATGTCAGCCCCCTGGGGGAAGGCGGAGGCAGGTTCTCACTTGGCTTTGGCTTCAGCGCTGTCGTACACTCTGTTAGTGACATCCTCCAGGCCGCCAATCAGCTGTCTGAAGGACCTGAAGACACAGGAGGAGGGAGGTAAGAAAGGTGTCTGATATGAATTGTGGGACCACACTGAACATTTCAGACCTCTGTTAATGAAAGCTGTGCTGTGGTGATTGTACATACTATAGACAGCAGAAAGGCCAAAAGGCCCTTCTAGTCTACTCTGCTGCAGAATTGTGTAAAACATAATGATTTGCAGAAATAATATACAGTAGTACCTATCCTACATGAGTTATTGCTTCTTCATTAAACAGACCAGTTCAGGTGAGATATTGTGTTGCACACACTAGTTCGGGAGAGTTACTGTTTACTGTATGTGTTACACAGGACAGTTCAGGTGAGTTACTGTTTCTGTACTAAACAGACTAGTTCCAGAGGCAACCCGTTGTATCTGTGATAAAGAGACAAGTGACAGTATAGCTACTGCGGCCCTTGGTCACTCACTCTCTGTCGATGACCAGACACGTCACCTCCTCTGCGGCGATCACATTGGCTGTCCGCAAGTCCTCCCTGACACAGACAGACAGCTCTATCACTAAGAGATATAGTTTGATTACAATCAGCACTTTCAGAATTTCTTCATGCTTTATTAGCATGGTACTCAACTAAAAGTCACTAATTGTAACAGTAACTGTAATTTGTTATTTTCCCCCAAAACCAGTTATGAATTGAGGTTACAAATTTTTGCAGACAGGCAGAAAGTGGGAAGACAGTGGCTACCCAGAGTGGCGTTCTCTCACCCCTTCAGCGCCTGCTCCCCGAACCAATCTCCACGAGACAGACTGGACAGGAAGGCCGGCTCTTCATTGGCAGCCTTTTGCTGTGTGACCTTCACCTGTGGAATGACAAGAGCAGTCAGGGGTCATGAGCTGGAGTACAGAGGGGGCGGCTTTTCCAAGTCGTTCAAAGCTCACAGCCACCTGAGAGATGAGTGACCATTCCTGATGTCACTGCATTAATGACAGACCGAGCACTGCTCGCACACAAATAGGTAAGACTCCAAAGCTTTAAAACAGTTCTACTGAACCTGTGGCTCTTCCACTCCACTCCATTGGAGTTTTTTACAACAGCTTCTTTATTTCATCAACTGATAATTGGCAGAAAAAATATAGCAATTAAAGTGCTGGTTGCACAAATGTCTTCCAATGGGGTGGACTGGAAAAGCTGACCACAGAATAGTCCTGCCCTAGGATAAAGCTCAGATGAAAACGTTTGCCCCATTTATTGATTTGTGTAACTCTTGTCCTATGACTTATTATCATTATTCCAAGAAGGACTGGGATAGTGGTTCTAGTTGTCTCTCTCCAAGAGAGATCAATGAATACAAGCAATGCAAATTGTAGCTTTGGAGGCTACACTGAGGAGAGTGCTCTGCGCAACACTGCCACCTTGTGGAAGGAATGGCTGTGGCGCAATGCAAAAAGGAGATTCCAGGACTTTGATAGAACAGCCTGAGTCCACACTCTTCCTCACCTTGCCCTTGCTGATGATGAAGAAGGTGTCACCGCTGGCGCCTTGGCGGATGATGTAGTCGCCCTCGCTGTAATGCGTCTGTGGACACACGACACAGGTGTGAGACAGAACAGGTAGGGCAGCCAATCTATGACGTGAGACCTGACGTGAGTGATGCCACACTGCCCGCACACCTCTCCCTGCATCGGATGTGCAGTCTGAGCAGTGAAGGGAGATTTAAACACTGTTGGGGTTCACAACTGTGGCGCCACAGCCATCTCAACCCAACCCAAAAGTGCACTAAACCAGAAATACAAACACCATGAGTATCCTTAATTTATTTCAGTATATCCTAAGGAGGTTGTGTTCTGAAAAATCTACAGTATCATTAGAAGATATATTTTCTTTTATTTTTGGAATCCTTCAGGGACACCTTTTCGGTTCTATAAGGGTCGAATGTGCCTCACTGGCCTTGCTTAGTCCTAGATATACAGGAGATATTGTAAAAATCACAATTCTTTATCTCCCCTGCCCCTTATGTGTGCAGAGATTGTAGAGAGAACAGCAGTGCAATATAACTTAGGAGAGCAGGACTCTCTGGCTCAAGCCAGTGCACGTCTTTGGTCCAGTCAGCTGCTTTATCAGACAAGTGAATCAAAGGCTGGCTGGACCCAGCTCTCCAGCAGAATCGATGTGGAGGTCTGGTGTTTTTGACAAGCCCTGATATGGCGTGCCAGTGTGGGTACAGATAGTCAGTGCTGAGTGGGGATATAGAATGTGTGCGCAGAATGCAGTAGCTGAACAACACTTCATGTGTAAAGAACCCACTAGTAGCAAGTGTTTTTTTTTGGTGAACATTTATCACATCAACATCTGCTGTTCTCCCCAGGGAGTTACCATGCTCTGATCATGTGTCCTACCTTTACCATAGTATACTGGAGTAAAACTATCAGGCTCTCTACAGTGAGCAGGGCACTGTACCTCCTCAAGGACATCGGCCACCTTACTGAGGACATCCTCCTGCAGGGACTGGAAGGAAGGCACACTGTGGACAGACGAGCAGAAGGGCTCAGAGTCAGACAGACCAGCGTCAGCTCTCAAAAGAGGACAGACAGGAGGACACAAACCCAGACAGCTCTCAGAAAGAACAGACAGAATGGCACACTCACTCTGCTGTGCAAGAGACATAGACGACAAATGTGAACATAAGAGCAGACTAGGGTCAGGGACATTGTCAGTTGCGAAGGAGGACAAACAGAAACCTATTTGTTTTCAGGGAGGAGAAGACCAGAGAGATGGGGAGAACAGAGATGGACAGATATATTCCAGCTCTGCGTGAGACACAGTGACAGAAACCAGCCGTGTCACAGGAAAATGACAGAGAGGTGGACAACACCGGACTGTCCATGTAAGAAAGGGGTGTGCTTAGTAGTAAGAATTTCAGCTCTAGGTTTTAGAGTTGCCCTTTCTCTGCAATACAGGGTGATTCCTTTAATAAAGGGGTAACCTTGCTAATTAGTGCCTGGCTGCATTCTAAGACTACCTTGACGTTCAAATGAACAGAAGTGGTAAAAACTTACTTTTGCCCCTTTTGCAGGGATTGTATTAATATAGCTATTGAATTTAAAGGCAAACTGGATTTGATGTGTACTTTATTTTTGTAATGCTGAAGAGTTTATTGATGTGAGAATTGACTGAAGCAGGCACAAAACTGTGTCCTGCCTACGTTACTGTGTCCCTAAATCTACCGTTTGAAATGACAAGTGGAGGTGACAAGCGCCTTTTATGTTCAGCAAGTGATGGCAGTCTCTGTGCGCCTGTCTACGAAGCTGTCTAAATGGTGTGTGTATTCAGTGAGCGGTTTCTGCAGACTCATGCTTTCTGTCTATCTGGCTGCGAGCAGGGCATGCAGGGCCAGTGACCGGTACTGTCTACGTGTCTCTACTTATGTGCTGTGCAGGGACAAGCTCAGTGCTCGAAGGCGCCGCCCTGCAGGTCACCTGCGGAGGAACTCCATGTACTCGGTGTGTCTGATCAGGCCTGTCCGCATCATGATGGTCTGGAAGCACTGCCTGTCTATCGCCCACAGCTTGATGTGGGTGAGTGCTGGGGAGAGAGAGAGGCAAACGCCCAGTGAGGAGGAAAAGAGGGGTGACAGGGAGAAAGAAGGTGGGAAAAGACAAAAGGGGCAGGAGGGAGGAGAGAGAAAACACAAGCAAAGAGAAGAGAGAGAGTGGGGAGCAAAGGAGAAAAAAGGGAGAATGGGAAAATGAGAAAAGCAAAATAGGAAGAGAAGGAGGAGAGAGAAAGAGAGAGGGAATTAGTCCGATTGTTAAGCAGCACGCTGGATTCTATTCATGACAGGGTGACTGCACCAATGAAGTGTACAGGGAGCTGAAACATTTTCCAAGCAAGGTCGCCATTCAAAGAAAACTGAAAGAAAAACAACTTGAAAGACATGTGGCTGGCTTACAGGCAGAGAGCGAGTGATGGGGGAGAGAGAGCCAGAACATCACAGCAAGGATCAGAGAAGCAGGGAGGACAGCCTGGGACACCGATTACCCTGATGTGTGTGAGAGAGGGAGAGGGAGACTGTGAGAGAGTGTGTGTGTGTGTGTGTGTGTGTGTGTGTGTGTGTGAGGGAGGGAGAGTGTGTCAGGGAGGGAGAGTGTGTGTGAGAGAGTGTTTGTTAGACTGTGTGACAGAGAGAGTGTGTGAGAGAGAGAGAGAGTGTGTGTGAGAGAGAGTGTATGTGAGAGAGAGTGTGTGAGGGAGGGAGAGTGTGTGTGAGAGAGTGTGTGTGTGAGAGAGAGTGTGTGTGTGTGAGAGAGAGTGACTGTGTGTAAGAGAGTGTGAGAGAAAGTGTGTCTGAGAGAGGGAGAGTGTGTGTGTCTGAGAGAGTGTGTGTGTGAGAGAGAAGGATAGTGTGTGAGAGAGGGAGACTGTGTGTGTGAGGGAGAGAGTGTGTGTGTGTGAGGGACGGAGAGTGTTTGTGTGAGAGAGAGTGTGTGTGAGAGAGTGTGTGTGTGTGTGAGGGACAGAGAGTGTTTGTGAGAGAGAGAGAGTGTGTGTGAGGGACGGAGAGTGTTTGTGTGAGAGAGAGAGTGTGTGTGTGTGAGGGAGAGAGAGTGTGTGTGACAGAGTGTGGGTGTGTGAGTGAGAAAGTACCAGAGAGATAGAGTGTGAGACTGAGAGTGGGAGTGTGTGTGAGAGAGAGGGAGACTGTGTGTGAGAGGGAGAGAGAGTGTGTGTGTGTGAGGGAGAGAGAGTGTGTGTGTGAGAGAGGGAGACTGTGTCCTGCTGTCGCTCAGGGAACAGGGGCTGCAGCAGAGCTTGGCACTTCTGGAGCAGTACGGGCAGACCTGGGCACTGCCAGCCAATCTGAGCAAGACCAGAGTCATGAGCTTCCAGAAGAAAGAAACAGATTCCACTTCACCCTGAACAGCAACACAGTGGAACACTAGGTAGGTAAGTAGGTATAGGTATTTTTTATGCCATAAGAATGAGTTGTGGAGTTCAATTACAGCCTATAATTACACAAAATAGGACAAACACCCACAGAGGTCTGTAAAAACATTCTCCACCAAATAATGTATGCAAGTCTGAATTAGAAACTGGACACAGGCAGATCTGGACACCCAGAGAGGACAGGCTCAGTGACCACAGCCTGGGAATAGAAACTGGACACAGGCAGACCTGGACACCCAGAGAGGACAGGCTCAGTGACCACAGCCTGGACATAGAAACTGGACACAGGCAGACCTGGATACCCAGAGAGGACAGGCTCAGTGACCACAGCCTGGCCATAGAAACTGGACACAGACAGACCTGGATACCCAGAGACAACAAGCGCAATACTAATAATTATTAGTATTGTTGTAAACATCTGCAAAATGTTTTACTAATTCATCTTGCTTTGGCAACACTGTAATTCATCGATCATGACACTAAAGCTCTTTCAATTTGAATTACTCAGAAAGAGGATTGTGCGACTTTGTGCGTGTGTGTAAATGGGTAAGTGTGTGTAACTAATCCACAGATGAGTGTCCCCTCCGCCTGGCTCTGACCTCTTATTCAGCCCTGTTCGTCAGCACTGCTCCCTGTTCCACTATCTCGGAGATTAGCGCCAGGCACCGAGATTAAACACACAATGGAGCCAGGGTAAACTGAGGAGAGGGATGAGAGTGACCCAGGAGAGCGTGTCAGTTATTTCTGTAATCCTTCAAAGGGGGCTCCTGCTTCTGGTGCATTCAGGGCCACAGCTAACCCACTATGCAGCTCTCCTGTTGTCAGGCTCTGCGGCAGTGCAGGACGCTGTGAAAAGGGCCAAGAGGTGCAGTTCACAGTGAAGCCAGGTGGGGGCACTTCAGTCACATTTGGACAACCAATTCCTCCACAGGTCAGACGCTCATTTCATTGTGCCCAAGCTCTTCAGTTATACTGAGCAGAGCCACAGCTTCAACTACTACCTCCTGAGTGTTAGAGCTCTTGAGGTAGAGAAAAGCAGGCAGACACTAAGAGAGCTTGAGATGGGAGGAAAGACAGCGAGAGATGCAAAGTAACCAGAGGGTGGATGGTAGACAGGGATAGAGAGGTTACCCAGCTTCTCAGGAAGTGTGTCTCAGTTGCGTGTGTTGTTTAAAGTGTGTTTCCTCTGCAGGGTACAGTGTGTGTGAGTGTGTATTGTCTGCAATGTGAGAGTGTGTATTGTGTACTGTGTGTGTAAGAATGTGTATTGTCTACAGAGTACATTGTTTACAGTGCATATGAGTGTGTATTATCTGCAGTATATATAAGACTATGTGTTATTTACAGTGTGTGTGGGTGTGTATTCTCTATAGAGTACATTGTTTACAGTGCATATGAGTGTGTATTATCTGCAGTATGTATAAGACTGTGTGTTGTTTACAGTGTGTGTGGGTGTGTATTCTCTACAGAGTATATTGTTTATAGTGTAAATGAGTGTATATTGTTTACAGTGTGTGTGGGTGTATATTTTCTACAATGTGTGTATTGTCTACAGTGTGTCCATTGTTTATAGTGTATGTGAGTGTATAGTGTGTGAGGGTATCTACTGTTTAGTGTGTGTGTGTTTTGTTTACAGTGTATGTGAGTGTGTGTTGTCTGCATTGTGTGAGAGTGTGTGTTTATTTACAGTGTGTGAGTGAGTATTGTCTACAGTGTGTGTATTGTCTTCAGAGTGTGTACTGTATAGTGTGTGTATTGTCTATAGTATGTGTGTGTATTGTTTAAAGTGTGTATAAGGATGTTCTGAAGAATGTTATTGTTGTAAATGCTTTGCTAATTGTTATCGCTTTGGCAACACAGTAATTCATCAGTCATGCCAGCAAAGCTCTCTGAATTTCAATTGAGAGCAAGAGGATAGAGGGGAGAGAGAGTCCTGGTGAGTGAGAAAGAGAGAGGCAGAGAGAGAGATAAAGGAAAGGAGAGAGGGGGAGAGTGGCGGAGAAGGACAGTAGCCCTGCTCAGTCCCTGTCTGTCGCCGTGTGAGGCTCATTCGATTTGGGGATGACATCTGCCTGCTCTAAGCAGGCTCTTTGCAGGCTGGCCCAGTAACACTACCCTCTCTGAACTCATCTCCCATCTCCAGTCATCAGGCCTCAGTGCATCTGCACCACATGTGTGGTTTGTCCCTGCAAGGGACTCAGTCTGCCAATCCAGTTCGCTGAATGACCAGTAGCATGACCCAGACAGTCTGCAAACTCTTGTCAAGCACCAAATGAGCCCCATGACACTCCTCCATCCCATCTAAATTTCTCCTCCAAATTCTGCAACAACCTTTGTGGACTGATCTGAGTCACTGCACCCATGTTGCACGTGACGGTCGCTCATAGCGGGCATTGGAACAGACCTCCGACATCTCTCACGCGCTTCCCGGACCCCTGATCCACACAGCGCACGGGCAGGAGACCAGATCCAGTGAGCCAGAAGACTGCTCATGTAGCCCAGGGGGTCAGCCTCTCCTACCAAGAACCAGAGTGTTTGTCCACTGTCATAGGCTCAAACCAGGTCAGCTGTGGTACTCCTGCAGTTTCTCAGCATCTGCACAAGAGCAGAAACTCACTAAGACCTGGGAACCCCCTTTGCATAGAGATTAATGACTAACAGAAGCTGAGGCTTCATTAAGCATGCACGTTAAATGGCTTCCGGCACTCTTAAATTGCAGTGAGATTTGCAAACCAGGTTGGGTGTTTGTTTTTGCTTTCCCACTCGGTGTCAAGTCCTCTGCCGACGTTATAATCTAGACAGCTTGTGTCTCCTGGAATTCGGAAAGTGGACTGTCAGGCAGGGTCTCAGGGCCGAATGGTCCCCCCCCATAAACACACCCTCACACACATTGACCAACCTTCGTAGTGCGCCAACTGTGACAAATTACCAGCAAAATGTATTAATGTAAAAAACTGAGCTTGTCTTCTCAGCAGCTCTCTCGTCTCCTGTGTAAAGGCTGTCTTAATTTCACTGCGTACCTACATTTTGGTCATTACTGACGGAGGGTTTCATATATTTAATCTGTACGCTCAAAACCAGGCCCTTCAATGCCAATTCTTAGTGTTGTTTCCCCCAATTTGTTCCAACACTCTCCATCCATTCATTTTCTAATCCAGTCACCCAGCACGGGGTCGCTGGAGGGAGCTGGAGCTTATCCTGGCAAGGAACGGGCACGAGGCAGGGTACACCCTGGACAGGACGCCAGTCCATCGCAGGACGTGTCAGACACAAACACGCACACACTCACGCCAGGGCCAATTTTCCCAGAAGCCACTCAACACCTAAGGACTTCAAAAAACATGCATCTAGTCTGTTTTAAAAAAAATAAATTTCAAAATTCTGCTTGAAATGTACTTCAGCCTCGTGATACGTTCAGTGTATTCGGTAAGTGAAAACCGAATCAGGGTCCACTAGGAATAACAACACCCAAAAATGAAGTGTACTGAAAGGATTATAGAGTGTTTAGTTAAAATGTGGCTTAACCCCCCTGGCGGAGGGCTGAACAGGGAGCAGGTGCACAAAATCAACTGAAATGTGAACGAGCTGGAGCGCCCTTAAGGGGGAGGGCACAGGGTCAGACTGGCAACAACCTTCTATCACCGCTGATTTCATCTGCCCAGCCGACCTCTGGAGGAGCGGAGAGGGCGGCCTCAGGCGGTCTCTGCCTGGCACTGACCTACGCTGGGGAACTTTGGGAACCTACAGACTGGCACTGTGCCAACCTGCCCAAGCTGTTTGATCAGTCCGGAGAGAGACGCGCGTCCTGTAGCAGGGGCCTCTGGACCCCGGGACCTGCGACCCCTGTCTGCTCACACTTTGCTGCCGCAGAGGGACACGCACGGGCAATCAGAGGTATATAGAAATATCTGTTCACTCTCGTATGCCTGTGTTTGTACACGTGAGCTTCTTTCTCGCTCTGTTTCCCTATTCTCTCGCAGTGCGGTAATCTAGCTGTGCTCGTGGCTATTTAAAGTAAATCGGTGCAGAACAAAGGTTCAAGGCCCTTTCTCATTCGCTCTCTCTCTCTCTTTCCTGTTTCTGCCTCTGAATTCCTCTCCCTGTCTCTCTTGAAAGGAAGAGGAAACACAGTGCTTGCAGGAGAGTTAATGAATTAATAATGCAGTCAGTTCATTAATTCAGCAGCTCCAGAGGGGGGCGACTCCAGCCCACTGCCAATCAAGCTCCAGATTCCATCTCTCTTACTGGGAGCCCTGGCCTGCCCCAGACCCTCATCACTCTCTGTACTGTGCAATGTTACACTGCTGTATTCTTTGACTAGCAGTAGGAACGATCATAATTATTTGTATGTGCATAGCTTTTCTCATCCAAAACGGTCCCTTCGTGCTTCTCTTATGTGCAAGGTGATGCAAGGCAGCCATTCTGACCAGCTGCCCCACTGTGATGAGGTAGATGAGGTAGTGGAGTGAGAAATGACATTGACAGTTGAAATAGGGAGACCAGATCACAGAAGCATGAGTAGAATTTAGACAAGACTTCTTTACAAGACTAGAATTAACACCTTCATTCTTCCAAACAGTGTCAACTGCTCTTTATTAGACAAGTAGTTAGGACCTCAGTTTAATGTCTCCTCCGAAGGATGACAGCTCTTGTAGCACCATACTGGGGCATTGGTCTGGAAATTCGGGCTCAGAAGGAGCCTACTGGTCCACTAACATCACAGTGGCAATCTGCATTTCCATCCCAGTACTGACCCAGCCTCGTTCAGCTTCTGAGATCTGTATTCTGTTCAGGTGCACAGCTATCTGCTGTTTTGCTGTTCTGTACTGCAGAGTATGATATTTAAGTGTGATCAACATCAGTACTGGGGTTTAGCTTTTAAGATTGCTGTGCTAAAAGAACAACATTCTAAGGTTTTTGCTTCAATATAAAAGTTACTCTATTTCTGCCACCAGAAATTAAAATTTCAAATTAAAACTGAAAGGAAACTTCAGTGTCAATTCCCACACCACATTGATGAACAGACAGTGAAAATGGCTCTGTGGGCTCCAGACTCTGTGCAGTTTCCTACAGGATGGGGGCTGTTTTCTGCAGGTGTAGGGTCAGAGTCGACCACGCTGGCGTGGGCGCCGAGAGGAGGGTGAGTGACCGGCCAACGCAGGACAGCGCAGTCAAGCACACGGCTGCCCAGAGCAGGAGAGCTGCTGATGGGCTCACTTGGTAATGCTGAGAAGAAGCCTCTCAGCACCGGAGCAGTGCAGAGAGGCCCCACACAGCAGACAGTGAAAGAGAGAGAGAGAGCCAGGCTGAGTGGCGACAAGCCCACGCCTGGAGCAATTATCACTCGTAGGATCGTTAATGGCTGCACTTCACACACCTAGCGGCTGCTTTCAACTTAATTACTCCAACCTGATTTTGCCTTTAACACTTTCGTGCCTCTCAGCCTCATGTGGAAAAAAAATGCCAAACGGTTGTTCCATGAATCCTGATCAGCACCGATCATGGAACCTGCATTCACTCCCTGGCTATCCCTCATGGTGCAGGATGGTCATCTCCATTGAAACCCAAGGTGGGCGATAAGGCCAATATGGGATCTGCACACTCTCTGGCAGGTTGCAGAGATCAGGTTGTGTACTGCGCAGTCCTGTCAGGAATCTTGGATCACCTCCTGTTAGTTGTGGACTTGTGCCAGTTGGCATCTTTGAGGCGCAATAATTGTCCCAAGTGCTTTAGCAGGCTGTCCGTGGCTGAGCTGTGCAGGACCATGTACACCTTTCACTTGGCCATATCCTCCAGCTGTCTCTATTGCAGTTAACCACTTCTCACCCTGTGATTTCAAATGGCTTTACAGCCTTTTGACTGCGCTTGTACACTACACCATAGTACACAATGAGCCTATTCTCTAATCACGGCGAACTTTCCCTAGAATATGTGGAGGAATTTCACGCACGAAAAAGGGGAGAAAGGAAGGGACTCTGCACTCTCCACCGAAAGGCTGTGGGTTCAAGTCCTGGCTATACAGGCTACTGCTATACCCATGAGCTAAGATACTTCATCACACCTACTGAGTCCCATTTTTAAGGAGGTATATTCCTGCAATGCAGCAGCATTCAGCCAACCAGGGGAAAACTCCTGCTCTCTCAGGCCACTAAACAGTATAGAAACTAGGATAAGATCAAACCTGCTGAGCCAACAGGCACATGTATGGACTGTACTTGCCCACATCTCTGGCTGTATGCATACTTGGAGTGTGTATATCTACAGTATAGGCACTAACCATGACCCCATCTCACTCATTTTCAATCTCTGGGATGCTGTCTGGGCCGCTATTTAATTCCCTGTCTGAGGAACCTTAGACTCTACTGCTGGGTCTGGAATAAACACAGGACCTATAAACCTGACAGATCCCCTGCGCTGTTGTTCCACAGAGTCTTTGTCACGGTGGGGAAGGGGGGGGACAGCAGAAAGGCAAACTGAGCAGCTTATATCCTCCAAACGCTTCAGTGCCTAAAAAAAGAAGCTATTCAGGTCAGAGCAGCGCGCTGCCGGAGTGGGGAAGTGAGTGCGGAGAGAGAGAGAGAGGTTGGAAATTCTCTCAGGTCTTCTTTTGCAGTTTCTTCTTTGATTCCGTTTGAAGTGAGTCTGTTTCTCCGTCTCTCTCTCTCCCCCCCTGCTGCTCTCTTTAAACATAGCCCGAGAGCAGAGTTCTCTGCCTGAGTGAAATGAAGCCCTTCGGGCCCTCTCGCTGCCACCCAGCCCTGCGCGTGCTGCTCCACGAGCAGTGCCCGGGAGGGAGACGCTCCCTCTGATGGACAGAGGGCGGGAGGGGGAGAGGGGGTGAATCTCAGTACCCCATCTCATAGCCCCCAGCTGCACAGACCTGTGTCACAGAGAAGAACAGCCTATTTCAGTCCGGTGGAGGCCTGTGGCCCCACTGTTCCCCTTCTCTGGGATGGAGGTTTTCCCTCCCTGTCCTCAGCTGAAGGAATCTGCAGTGCTACCATGTTTTCCCCGAGCAGATACAATTTTAATGTGCAGCAGTGTATTCCTGTCCTTTCGAGTGCGCGCTCAGACCAGCAGGCAGGCAGGGGTGTGAGTCGTGTGCTGTCCAACCCAGATCTGACATAACAACATAGCTCTTTCCCTGCAATAGCACAGTACAGCCCTTTGAAGACAACAACAAGTGGGACGTCTGGTGAATGATTCTAACTGCAAGGAGGAGACAGACACTCAGATTATGTTCTGTATAATGTATATGAACTAGACTGGGGTTGATTTGGTTTACTACACTGCTGGTAATGGATGTCCAAACCCTGGATTTAAAACTAGATTACCTCAGGCTTACATTTTCCAAATTAGATTTTAATGAAGAAGGTGCTTACTTTTAACAGCTTTCTCACTAGCTAGATTGCCATCTTTAAATTTTGAAAAGTAAGATTGAAAAAGCCTCCAATTGATATTTTGTGGGGGGAAAAAGCCTTTAATATCCCACTGTTGGGAAACTCCGTGGGGAATCCCTAAGGTAGAGTGTTGAGGCAGTGCCAATGATAAAGCATTATACAGCGTCCCCCTGTAAGAACGCTAGCTACGCCCTAAAATAAAGCAACTTCCTCCCCCTGGCATAAACAGTAAATCTCATCACCTCCTGCATCAGACCCTGTTATCAGATAGGAATGTGTTGGTGTCTGCTCCGTTATGTGGAGGGTGCTGTGTCACATCTCTATCATCTCTGAGTCCAGGCTGCTGGTTTCTGCCTGCAAGCTGTGTGTACATGCTGCTGTCCAGCTGGTCACCCTCACCTGTGACAGTCGCAGTGCGGGTGCAGTTGTACAAGATGGCCAGCTCCCCAAACACCTTCCCCGGGCCCATGGAGCACAGCTTCAGCCCATCCTTGGTCACCTCCACCTTCCCCTCTGTCAACACACACACAGTTAGGATTAACATCACGCCGAAAGACCCAGGAGAGCAACATCACAAGTACGGGTGCCGGAAATAAATATCACTCCCATCAGACACATATGAAGACAGGGAAGAGGGATCAATCGACACAAACGAGCTTAGCAAATTAATATCCAACATTTAGACACGAGGAACACGTGTTCAGGTATACATGCAGGTGAGGATAAATATCTAGGGTTATTTGGGGGAGGGGTGGCACACAGAACTGTTTACAGCAAACAAAGCCCTGCTGCAGAATGACTCAATACAGAGCTGCATTAAGAAGCAGGCAGTGCACAGCTAGTGATAACAGGCAGGGACTGATCATCTGAAACACCCAGTTACAGCAGTGGGAGGGAAGCACGGAGACAATCAAAGGAAAGAGAAAAGTTGGATCTTGCAGTGTTTTCGGTGTCTGGCAGTCTGCAAGTGTGGGCCTGTAAGAATGAGAGGAGAGGCAGTCCATTCAGGAAGCCTGCACAGCTGTTGTTTTGAGTCAGGAGCTGTCCTTGGTGCTGAACCCAGTGTCAGGGCCAGATGACAATCCAGCTCTCATTGTTGCTCTTCTAGACTGTCTGAGAGAGAGAGAGGCTGGAGGGAGGAGATACGGTGAGGGAGAGGGGGCTGAGACAAATTGAGGTGTCAGAGCCACGCAGGAGAGGGGCTGCTGTTCGAATAAGCAAGAACTGGAGGGGTATGTACTGAGGGAAAAGGTCAGCAGTTACAGCAGCTGTCAGTGACAGCTCACCGTGTATATTATAGAAAGACAAGAAGGACCCTAGACTCACTATCCTCTCAGAACCACACACTGGCTCACTGACTGAGTCACTGACTGGCTGCAGTACTGAATCACTGGCTGATTAACCAACTAACTGCCTGTAACACTGAGTGACTGACAGACTGACTGCTAATTGTACTTATTAACTGCATGTAACTCACTCTGTGACTAGGCTGCAGTTCAAGAGTCAAAGAATCGGAAATCAAAGTAAAAACGGATCATCGTAAAGCACTGTGTTGCCCATGAGTCAATCAGCATGTCACTCGGGCTATCAGAAAGACCGAACGCTTTCGTTCCAGAGACTTACTCAAAACCACTGGCAGCTGTAATCATCACAAGTTGCTTTCACTGAGTATTGACTCCGCTGGGGAGGGGGGGGCAATACTTTTGCATACCCCAGATTTTAATTTGTGATTTTTCTTTGCTGTTTCTGCTGAAAGCATTCAGTTTGAGCATTCATTTTTTAATTCAAATCTCACTTCAGAAGCAAGTCTGTGCGCCACCCGTCATTGGAAAGAAAGCGATCTCTCACAGGAGGAAGAGAGAAGAACCCCCCCCCAGTCTGTGCTGGACGAACAGGGGCCCGGGCTCTGATCTCTGCCCATACTCTGGTGGCAAGAGTGTGAGCACGCAGGCACTGCAGCTGAGCGCCTCAGCGCCATCAGCAGCAGATAATGCAGAGCACGTCTCCGCTCTCCCTGCGACAGCTTATTGTGTTACAGGCTCTGGCCCCACAGCGGGGCTCAGCACGCACCTCGCTATCGCTCCATCTCCCTTGCCATTAAAAGGCAATTCTTATTTCTTCTGTTTAATCCTGAGGCAGATAGGCTCGCAAGAGCAATAGTGTGGCAGAGAGGGAGGCCAGCAGAGCCCCCCAGCCTGGGAGGGGTGAGCACGGAGAGGACATGATCAGAGCAAACTGCCCCCACGCAGTACAATTAACTCGGGGACTAACTCATGAGGACAGCTCATGGATGAACAGAACAATATTCCAGACTTCCCCATGGCTTCTGCTTTGTCCTTGTGCAGTTAAAGCACAATGAGTGTTAATAAATCCAATCAAATACTTTCCCGAAAGCAGCTATTAATGCTGGGATAGAAAGAAGACAAGGGTGTTTCTAAACACATAATGAAAGAGCTTTCTTTTTGTCCTTGTGTTTGCCTACATGGCACCCAGTAAACAGGGCTATGCTGACAGTGGCTGGGTGTTGTTGAAAAAGTATTAAGAGTACAGAACCGGGGTCTCCAGCAGTGGTGCTTGAGTGCCCTCATTCAGTGCCACTGCTCATCCTAAATCACCGGTTTCTAAAGATCGGGATCGAGACCACTTTGAATTTGGATGATTGGTTAATTAATCATCCAGGGATTCCATCCAGGGATCACGGATCCTTGAGGTATAATGAATTGTGTTCCAAAATATACTCTATTAGCGGTACTTAAAATTCAAGTTGTCTTTAGAAATCAGTGATTTAATGGCTGCCAGTGAAGCCTGCTGCACTGGGACTCAACAAGATCAGAGCAGGAGACAGGTGGTCTAGACAATCTGGGAGGAGATGTATAAAACAGTGGTGCCCAACTCTGGTCCTGGAGGAACACTGTCTGCTGGTGCGCAATCTATCTGAGCTCTAATTGTCAGTGCTAATTTATGACTTAACTGATCTGCTTTCTTGTTCAGTCTTTTATCTTGCTTCTTTTGTTAATCCTGAGTGATAAAATCACCCCACTTCAGAAGTGCTGTTTCCAACAACTTCTGTGCTTAGAATTTTACACAGACTTTTCTGAACTTCATTGTTGTTATTTCTCAGTAATGCGCTTTTACTGCTTGATCAATTGATGATGAACAGGCTGGAGTGATGCTGTATCAGACACCCCCACAGTGGGAGTGACACTGTATCATACACCACGGAAGAAGTGACACTGTATCAGACGCCCCCACGGTAGGAGTGGCAGTGTATCAGACACACCCATATTAGGAGTGATACTAATCAGACACACCCAGTGTGGGAGTGACACTATATCAGACACCCCAACGGTAGGAGTGACACTGTATGAGACACACCCACAATGGGAGTGCCACTGTAACAGACATACCCAGAGTGGGAGTGACACTATCAAATGCACCCACAGTGGGAGTAATACTGTATCAGATACACCCACAGTGGGAGTGACACTGTATTAGACACACCTACAATGGGAGTGGCAGTGTATCAGACAAACCCATATTAGGGGTGACACTAATCAGACACACCCACAGTGAGAGTGACACTGTATCAGATACACCCACAATGGGAGTGCCACTGTAACAGACACACCCACATTAGGAATGACACTGTATCAGACACACCTACAGTAGGAGTGACACTGTATCAAACACATCTAAAATGGGAGTGGCACTGTATCAGACACACCCATATTAGGAGTGACACTAATCAGACACACCCACAGTGAGAGTAACACTGTAAGAGACACACCCACAATGGGAGTGGCAGTGTATCAGACACACCCATATTAGGAGTGGCACTAATCAGACACACCCACAGTGAGAGTAACACTGTATCAGACACACCCACATTAGGAGTGACACTGTCTCAGACACCCCTTCTGGTGGTAAGACATTGTATCAGACCTTCAGCAAGTGTGTATTCCTTCTGTAGATGTCCAGTTGGTTACACTTCAGGTAACACACCTGCTTGAGTTAAGTTCTTCTCATTCTCAAATTTACCAATGTGCCGCGGATAGAAAACTGAGATCAATTAGTCTGTGATTAAAAACTTAAAGCAAATTAAAACTTCAAGTTTATAATCACAAAAACCAGAGAACACAGTGTGCCTCCAGGACCACTGCATCGACCCACTCCTATGATATGGAAAGAGAGATCAGAGTGAGAGAGTGATGAAGGTTTGCTCATAATGGAGGTTTAAGCCTAAGAGGACATGAAGATTGGTACTGTAGTTGCACAAGTGTGGTTGGTGTGTGGGTGTGGTCAGTGGCTAGTGGATGCAGCCACTGCGGGCCTGTCCAGCAGCCACGTGGTTAAGGTACAGACAGGTGGGTAGCTGCGTCAGCATGCGTAGGCTGCAAAGGAACAAGTAATAGGTTTATTCCATGCTGAAAAAAAGAAGAAAGAGATCACAACGTTTCG